CACTGTAATGTCTGCCTCGACGGCATTTATGCAAGGAGGTAATCACGCTCCAGCCAGATATCCCCGTCTGTCAATGCTGCCGATGTTTTGTTATGTTTTTGTGTAAATTACATAATAATTTTAGTCTGATATATAACTTATGTTTTGTTATAATAGTGTAGGAATCATAACCGGAAAATGCCAACCTAAGTACTCAATTTACTATGCCGTCGAGTTTCAGTCATCTTAATCACCGTTGCAATTTATATGCAATATTTCATCGACACTATAATCATATTTGCTAAGACTACTTGCAATGTATGCGGGTTTTAGGCATTTTTTGCTGAAAAACAGTCGCGACTTATATCAGTTTGAATAAGACACATGGTTTACTGCAGAATGGCACGATTTATTTTGCGAGTCGTTAATAAAAGTACAAGTACATAAAAACATTCACATACATCAGCTTTACACTCTATGACCAATTATAAATTTCTGGCTTTGTTGCAATAATTTTTATTTACATTTCTTCAAATGGAAAGACAATGTTTTCCTAAAATGGACTGTGCAACTGTCAGTAGCTTACCGCGATTTAATATCCGGGTTTATTTAATCATGCGAAAACACGTTGTCTTCACCTAAAGGGACCCGTTTCGCATTTGGACAAAACACGTCTGTGCGGTGTAAGAGCTGGTGCATTGCGCTGTCATAAAACATCTGTTTTTTTTTTAAAATCCATTTACTAGAAAATAAGTTTGTTTTGAAGAAATTAATCTTTTAAAGTTTTTTTTCTTTTGAGATGATTTCATAGTGCTGTGCGAACATAGTTCTGGTTTCAAAATCTTGAATAGAGGTATTTTATATAGTAAAGCGAGGCCACACGTGCTTTTTTATTTTGATTCGATTAGGTATCGGGTCTGATGCTTTAAATGCTTTACATACTACGTTTATGCTCAAATTTGATGTTATATCGTTGTTGATTTGCTTATTAAAAGTTTATATATCGTTTGATCGGGATATTATTAATTAATGTTCAAGGCATTATTATAAACCATTACGAGCAACACTGTCTATATATAAACAAGACACATGGTGTCGGACTCCTTGCACATTACGACATTTAAGTGTACCTGTCATGCCACAGTATAACACGAGTACTACTAGTACGCAAGTAATGGAATTTTCGTGTCGTAATGCTTCTTCTACTGCGCAGATCTAAACACACATTCGTATAGAAAGCATTTTATTCTGCTCTTCTAAGGGTATGCTGTGCACAGCTGACCATTCCTTCGCAGCCATTTTACGCGTGCATAAAACCTCGCTTTTGTACCAGCTTATATGTTATTGTGTATTCGAGTAGAAAGAATACAGAAATACGCAAAAAGATTTGCCTTCTTAAATTTTATAAAATTTGAAAAAGACATAAAGGTTTAATAATACCACTTGCATTGTTTCAGTATCGTTCTGTACAAAGAAAGCAACCGATTTTACATTTGTTTCAGCCTTTAAATCAATGAGTCCTAAATTGTTTAAAATAATGTAATGAAATGAAATATCATATATAATACTCGTGTTGTATAACATACATTTTAGCAAAAAGCTGAAACATCGTGAGTTCATTGTGCAACCAATTCTTCTTAATTTGCATAATATGTAAAATAAAAAACTGACAATGTGTTGCCATTTTTTACGTTCGCTAAGAAATCCATTTTCTTTATTTTCTTAAAATGTTCAATCAACTTCCAAAAGCATCTTTTAAGAGACATTAAAATTGATAAGTTAGTTTTCCGCTATTTTTTCATGTTGTACTTTAAATGAAAAGCGACATAAAAAGTTTCACTTGTACTATTAGTATAATGTTTTTCTATTGTCCGTACATTTTCTTGGAGTGACGTATTACAAATTATTATTATTATTGTTATAAATTACCATGTCATAGTGCGGTTGACTGTACGTAATTTGTTTCATCGATTTTGAAATGTCTATATCTGCATCTTTTCATATATGAATATTTATGGTTACAATACATCAAATCTGTTAAAGTGTAAAAAGCATTAGACATAAAACATCCTATGATTTACATACGGTCATTGACTTCTTCGTTAACGATAGTAAAAAAAACTGCTATGTCATGAAATCGCATAGTGAACTAAGTATAAAAAAACACAACCATAAATAACCGAAAGCATTAAGTTATTCTACCATATTTACATTAAGCAATTATAATTAGTAGCTTAATTATTCATGATAAATATGTGTTTAATGTGTCTATCATTTATTTTCCAGTACAAACGTGCATGTTTATTGTTCCAAATTTTGTTTACATAAATTAAAATTATCAGCGAGGAAAAATGAAAGGGTTGTTTTTGACATAACAGGACTGGAAATATTTTTCCAATGTTAATTTCCATTTGATGGAGGTCTACATCAATAAATTGTCAAAATTTCAAAACATTTGCTCTCTACTGTTTTTTCAGAATATCTATTCCAATTGTGAAATGAAAAGCGTTGCAATATTTTTACTCAAATTGGGCTGAGAATGAATTACTATCTTTTGCATATTTTTCTCTTTTAAGTGCCTCCAGCTATTCTATAAAGGAAATTCAAATTTTATGTTTTTATGTGCTTAAATCTCAAGATGACTCTAGTTTCTTAATGAATGGAAATAGATTTAATGTTAAAACAGAACGCTTATGAATATTTTTATGACAATATCTCAGTTCCTGAGTTGTTAGGAAAAACAATGATTTAAAAAATATACATATAAAGAACAAAGCCAAAACAAGACAATAAAATCAACAACAAAAAAATCATCAACCTTTAAGGTTAAGCCTCACGAGTTATATTCAAATATGTTAGATATGTATTTGTTGTACAATTTATATGAATGAAATGATCTTATTAGGTTGACAAATGACAGGACTATTAATAGAACCATTGCTTTCGGTAGTTGAGTTAGCAGACGTACGAATAACGATAATGATTTATTGCAATTTTAAAACGGCACATATATACATGTACTATTCTGTATGAAGCTGATGTTTTCAACTTGGGATAAAATATAAGGAAAATATATCACTTTACAGTTTGATATATCTAATTTATGTTTTAATAATAATATTGATTGTGAACGTGACATTTAATATATATTTGTTTGCATTTATAATCATTCTCAGTGCACTGCAATCAAAAAGTCGAAGTCGTCATGTCTGTTTTTACCACAATCACATGCAAAAAGTTGTCGTTTGTTTTGTTGTTGCTGTTGTTTTTTGTTGTGTGTTTTTTTTCTTTGGGGGGGGGGGGGTTGTCACGTTCTGCGTTCTTGTAAAAAAAATTTGCATTTATTTTTCATTTTAATAAAACAAGGCCTCCGTTATCACATTATTTAAGTAACCAGCGTAAATTTAAATGCATCTGATTGGTATAATATATTTCTGCAAAGTTTACATGTAACATCTGAATACTATCCCTTATGCTGTTATAACATTTTTTATCTATCATTGTATTTTTATAACTTAAGACTGTTTTAAATAAAATTAAATGAAAGGTACAAAATATCAAAATATTTAAATAATATTGTGTGCTGAAAACAAGATATCTATTCACTTTTGAAAAGGTTACAAATATCAATTAACAGTTTTAGAATAGACAAACAGTTTTATAACTGATTTGATAGCAAGTTAGATGCTTATCACCTATAGTGAGTAGCTCTGAGTTTCACATTTTTGTCATGAATGCGACAAGTTGTAAATAAAGTAGTATTTTGACTTCCATGCACAATGTTAAATGGCTATAACTATACTGATTGCCAAAAAGTAACAGAAGCAAAGGCTGGTTTAGGTAATTGGCCAATGAGTATCTTTTTTGGAAAACATAACACGAAACAATCAACAAAAAGCGTTCCAGAAATTTAAGATAAAAGTATTTCTGTCGGTGATTTAATGGGTCATATGTATTAAATATCCCCTGTTTACAGTTTAATGATAAAAAGAGTTGTTTTGATTACTCATATTTAAATGAAAATGGCCTGATTAAAGTACAGCTTTCGAGTTTTGACATAGGGAGTTCTTATGCAAAGCTCATAGAATGAAATGAAAAGCCCATAAAAGTTCCTTCAAAATGTTAGTATTTTAACACCGTTGCACGTCTGAAATTTTCTGGGAAATGTAAAAACGTGAATTATAAAATGTAATCTCGACAGTGCATCAGAAGTCATCATTTAGCATTCACCGAAAGAGCGGCGTTAATCGTAAATTGTAGAAATTTGAACTTCCAATTGAGTACGTGGACATTCATCAGAAATCTCCATTTAATTTGTAGATTTTTTTAATAGATCGACTGAAATTTAAACTCTAGCTTGCATGTTCTTCAGTCCAAGATTTTGTGAAAAATATGTACACTTCTATTTCAAAATGTGCACCTTAAATACACCAGAAGCCACCATTTAACATGTAGATTTCATTTCTTTTTCATGGGAGACCGCTAGACCCTCATCCTCTATAAAAGAGGAAGGATATTTCGTTGTTTCAAACTGAAACTCCCACAGTCAAAAAAATCTGTCCTATTATCAGGCCATCGTCATTCTTAGTGACCTGTACTCATTTGTCTTTTACGTTAAACATCGTTTGATTCGGATGCTTTTTGGCAATTATTACAATGATTGTGATTTTGCATTTTTTACGGAAATAAAAATACTGCTTTGTTTACATTTTGCTTATTCATGACAAATAAATTTACAATCAACGCTTCTTTCTTTAGGTAATACACATGTAACTGCTCTAAAGTCATTATGTAAACGTTATAAAACTAATCTTTGTTCTTTCTAATTAAAAGGTTCATTTATTTCGTTCTGGGGCATTATATGACAATAGCTTCAAACTGATCGTCATTCAAAAACTCCCTTATGATCAATGAATTGTCTGCTTAAAAACGGTATAATTGGGTAACACATGATTTTTTATATTCATGTTCATACCAAAATGAGTTTAAAAATGAACAGAAACAAACATACATGTATAGCATGTGTTTTAAAAACTTTAATTGTAAAAGATACTTAACGCTTACATAAAAACAGTCATACATACATAAGCAAATCAGTTAATATATTCCAATAAGTTTGTATAGATTGTAGAGAATTTTAATTAATATTCAAACATTTATATAATGCATTTCAATTCAATTGGAAAGATAATTATTAAAGTATTTAATATTCTATTGATCTGCCAGTCACAAAACATTTACTCGAAGACTTGTCCAGCAAGTGTGGGGTAAGTGGTAAGTTAATTTATCACATGAAGTGTGGATTAACAAGTGGACGGTGATTCACGAATGATATACGTGTTCAGTTTAATAATCATATCCGTATTTCTTGCCTGAAATAAAAAATAAAAACGTTATTGATATACCTCATTATGTATGCATTTCTATCTTTTTAAGAAAAATATTTATTTCGCATAATTCTGATAATTATTATTAATTTCATTAAATAGTTTTTTAAAGAAACTTTCTGAGGAGGTAAACAATAAACCCTTTCTATGTATATTTCCAAAATTACAAATTTATAAAAAAGTAATGTCAATTTTTTGAAGCATGTTTAGAGCAAGAAAGGTACCTTTAAAAAAACAAATAATTTTACGTACTTGGATAGTATTGTGGGTATTTTCCGTGTTTGTAGCCATATCTACGTCCATAGCCTCCATACATAGATCCATATCCTCCATACATAGAGCCATAACCGCCATTCATAGATCCATAACCGCCATACATGGAGCCATACCCGATTCCATTATACATAGATCCATAGCCAATACCTCCAAGCATTGAACCGTAACCGATTCCAGAATATGGGTAGCCATATCTGCCACGTCCATAACCGATGCCTCTATAGCCACCGTATAATGACCCATAACCAAATCTCGGATATCTGTAACTCATTGAACTATAACCTCTATACATGCCGTGATGACTGTAGTAAGCTGTCACGCTGGCGATGCCAACAATGGCTAACAGTAAAACACTGAGGCACTTCATAGTTTTAGATCTATAAATGTTAATCAGACAAAACAAATTTATTACAAAATGAAGATCAAAAATAAAATCTTCAGAGCGATACTTAAAAATAATTTGAGAAAAGCCAAAAGAATATCTGTTTGTTTGAAATACTTTGTCTAATTAGATTATCGAAAATAACCCATGGTCCATGTATTTATACTACTGTATGTTTTTATTACTTCCGTTTTAGTTCCATTTTTGCCATGTCAGTTTTTCCCGAATGGTAAAATATTTGCGGTATTAGTGAAAATGTAGTAACATTAATGCCCAAGAGTCCTTTGTGACATTACATGCACTTCCAGTCTCTCTTTCCTCCAAGTGCTGCGCATTACAGGAGAAAACATATACATGTACTGGTCTCGTATTTTAATGTTTGATGATGGTGAGATAAGATTACAAATCAAACCAGAGACGGTCATATATAGAAAATAACCATTTTTTACACAAAATATTAACGTATATATAGGTATTCGAAAATGGTGCGATATACACACTAACCATTTGATTTTTTTACAGTTATGATATATGAAGAAAAGATCAATGTGACTTTTACCATAGATAGTTAGTATTAAGACAAAAAGAGCATTACCTTGTTTAAGCGGCTGTGTACTTGTAACCTTGTTGTGCTGAGGAAAGATGCAAATGTGAAGATCCACGAAAGCTTTAGCATATTTATACTGTAAAGATTACCACAGATTGAGGAAACAATTCTCCTAAACCTCCCTCAATCAGTCACGCAACAAGTAGTCATTTGTTGAAGTTACTAAAAAACTCTTAGAATCGAAAACCCACTATCAATTAAAAATTAGCAAATCATCTTTCGTCGAAGGTCTCACATACGAAACGTAAACATGTGATACATTTTTATATAAAAAAATTCTATGAAATTACGCTTGAAAACATAAAGATTCTGTAACAAGATCACGCTATAGGTTATATATCTTCACCACATATATGATAAAAGTTTGTTAACAGGTCATGTATGCCAGTAATCAATTTTTTCTTGTAAACGTATTGCTTTGACTTATATGTATCAATTTATATAATTATGTGAGACCTGCACAACAAAAGACGTAACTTGGTCATTTATGTCTCTTTAACCAAACAATAGCTAAATAAGACAATAAAAGAACACGCATTACTGAACCTTATGACTATATCGCAATTCATTATAATTCACCGTTGCTGATTGGTTAATTAAATTCTGCATGTGTAAATAATATAAGTAAGACAAATACTGTCGACTGTACCTAATTACAATAAAGTCATCGTTTATGTTAATTTTGTAATTAATCAATAACCGATATTAGACTATGAAAAATATCGTTCAGTTAAGGAGGCAATTAATAATAAAGTAAAGCCAGAATCATTTCACGATCTTTTAAACAACATTACCGCAGCGTTTCATAGCCATTGAATGATATTAATTTTACAATTTACTGCATCATTATGATAAACGTTTTAACTTTCAATAAATTCATTTCTTTGGTAAACTATAACCACAATAATTTAAAAATTTGTATGAATTTTTAACTAAATTTAAAAGGGTCTCCACTAAGATTATTTATTTGGAAATATTTTTCATTAAAATTGTGTGCCAATTAGTCTGAACTAATATATTTAGTTTTAATTTCAATATCATTCCCTCACCTCGTTTTTTTTGTTTGTTTCTTTTCTAGAAAAATCAGTGACCCAAAATGAAAAGCTTTGCAACGTTTTTTTACACAAATCGTACAAAGAATCGTACAAATCTATATTCGAGTTAGTTCTGAGTATAATTCTTCAGTACCTTCTGCATATTTTTCCATTTTAAGTGCTGTTAGAATTTCAATGTCTTCGGCTTTGTTCTAGTGGAATTCCTTTAAATCATGTTTTCCCTTTTCTATCTTTTAAGACTTGCCTTACAGATTTATCGATATTAAGATATAGCTTATGTTAGTAAAGAGTTAAGTATTAAATCAATATCATTATTAATCCCTGTGCCGATGAAGACGTTAATTAATTTTCTATCCATTGAAATACTTCATTTTATTACATTCTTTTCGGTAGTTTATAGAAATATATCAATGAAATAAAAAAACTGTTATTTCAATGTTTGAAACAGTGAAATTATCAATTTGAATATTTAAGCCAGTAATGTTTTTTTCCAGTGAAATACCAGCGTGAACTGTATTGGAAACTAACTTACTTACGTGACGTCGTTAATGACACCACGTTGTATTATTTGGCGCACTTTTCATTTAGCATTAGGTTAAAACGTATTTTTAAACGTTTCTTTGCATATAATAAAAAGAAAATTTATTTAGTTTAGTGTAAGATCGAAATATATTTCACCTCGTGAACACCAAAAGTTCATATTTCACTCGAGGCTGCACCACTCGTGAAATATACCTTTTGGTGCTCACTCGGTGAAATATATTCCGATCTTACAGTGAACTAAACAAATATGCTCTATGCAATATTGAAACGTTTTCTTTTCCAATAACTGGCACAACTTGTCTTAATTGTCCTTTTTATCTGGGCTACGTTACTAAAGTAATGTACCTTTCTAAACTTTACCAAACAATGAATGGAACAATTAAGGACACGTGTATAATAGAGAAAAACAAAATTCCTTAATAAAGCCCAACACGACAAAATTCAAAATGTTGCAGGCTCGGTTTTTTTAGCCTGCTAAACGCAAACCAATTAGAAACTTTAACATAAATGAAAACTCTAATTAGCGTAGACACCGGTACAGTATTTATCTTTTTCGTAGTAGTTAGTGCTGTTAAAAGACATGGGGCTGTCAAAAAAGGGTTTGGAACATAACTGATAATGCATACCTGAAGAGAATACCATTTAACTTTGGTTCTGTGGGGAAATAAGTACATAATATAATCTGAGGGTGTATGTGGAAAATCAAATATCAAATCACGGATAGTCTAACGTAAAATGTCATGTATAGTGATTATATCATTTGAAGGTGCTAATCACTGCTATTAGCCTGATAAAATGCTCCACTGTCTTACATTTATGTAAAGTCCTCAAGAAAATTGAGTCGGCGAATTTTAAAATCTTGTTTTGGTTTTCATTTCTTTCTTCTTTCCAGATTGTTTTACTTTTATTCAAAAATTATCTATCGCTTTTACATTAAAAAAACAAACACTGTTTCAACGTCAATTCAAAATCTGATGTTTCTTTTTAAATTAGTGTAGGTACAGAGAATTGAAATTAAATGTATATTCTAATGCTAAAATAAGTAATGAATTGTAATTGTTTTCTCCATTAGAAGATTTTAAATAGTATCGTGAATGGAGGGAGCGGCAACGACATATTGATCGTTTCTTAATTGTTAGTTCAACTTGCTCGATGACACTTGCTTTTAAAGTTACATTTGTGAACTAAGTTGACATTTAAATGAACTATCCAAATACAATAAAATAGAGAAAAAATAAAAAAAATCCTTAAGAAAGTCCAAAACGGCATAATTGAAAATTTTGTAGACTCGGTTTGATTTAGTTTGCTCACGGACGGTACTGTCAAGTGCAAACAACCAACCACGCCCTTGCACCGGCTTAAGCAGTATTCAACATTGAAACATGTAATCGTAAAATTTTGAATTGAGAAACATCCGCCGATGTGTTCATACGACGGTGACCATGAAACCTTTAATATGACACTAAGTGCCATTCCATGAAAAGCAAGGTATGGTCCCCAAGTTAAAAAACGGTTGTGCCCTAAACGAGAAAACAATAGGCGGAATTAAACAAAATGCAATTTTGAAAGGGGAGCAGAGGTTATTGAGCCTGTATATCACAGATTAGACAAATTTAAAAAGCAGACCACCTATCCTAAGGGTGATTTTACGGTATTCAAGTAAGGAATACTGGAACTACCCAAGTAGAAAATTGAAAGACCTTAAATACCACAAACACTACATCAACAGCTTGACCACAGCTTTAACATCAACAGCTTTACCAGAGTTAGCAAAAATTGACATTATGATTATATTTCTTTCACTTTTAAGGTCAGCTGAAATAGCTTTATATTTTAAAATATTGATTATTTCAATGTCCATTGACAAATTAGTATTAATGGCAATGTTTAGGAACTACCTTAATTATAAAAAGACTACCCCACTTTTTATCATTTGGACGTTATTGGTACATTCCGAGGTTTTATATAGAAAGTTCCTTTCCGTCGATTATTTATAGCATTTTCTCCATAGAAAATCTTTTAATTATGGATTGGCATAGGATTTTCCTTATCTATATTTAGACTTGATGACGTCATTTGTATTTACCTGGATTACCTGTTTTGGTTCATTGAATTTTTGTAT